CGTTTATGTTTTCTTGCTGATTTATTTCGCCTTTCTCTCGGACTTGGGTGGGATGTGGGATCGGAATTTTCCCCGAGCTCACTTCTCGCCCGTCCCCTCTCATCTCTTATCATTAGGCCAGGCGCCTCGCGCACTAGAAATAGCCCTGCACTACCCTGAACAAGACACTCTCTGAATTACTGAAATAAAACAATAGAACCGGCCAAGTAGAGTCCCCTTCCTGCAGGAAACCAAGAGAACAACTACGAGAGAAAGTTCGGATCTCTCACTTGTGGCTAGAAATCAAAGGTTGAAATCTTTCGGCGCATTTAAAGCCGGAAATAACATTCTGACACCCTTATTTTTTTCAAAATCAGAGATGATTTCTTCAAAATGGCCATTTTTGGGTAGAATTTCTTCCATAACTAGACCAGAATTACTGCTGAAAAAAGGAGCCGCTTGCGGCTTCAAGCGAAGAAACTGAAAAAGCCGCGCTTCGAAGCGGCTCCTTTTTTAAGCAGTAATTCCAGTCTAGTAACGAAAGAAATTCCACCCAAAAATGGGCATTTTGAAAACATCGTCCCTGAATCCGAAGAAAAATAAGGGTGTCAAAATGTTATTTTCCTGCTCGCACTCAAACTTAAGGGTTGATCAACCCTTACCCCAATCTTGACCCAATATCTGGTACTTATACTTTCTCTTAAGTCTCAGCGACGAGTCCTCAAGATGTCTCCACCATTGAACCTCGAAGAAGTAAGGGGGCACTACGTTCCGTCTCCTCGCCACTCCGGATATGGAGTCTTCTCTGTCTACCCTTATTTCAACGAAGAGATCATTTAAACCTCACCCTGTTTCACTAGAAAGTGGGCGCCTTAATAGTTGTTTGAGTGCGTCAAGTTTAGCCTGCTCCTAATCCGGATTTATCGATAACTAATCCTCAGTAATGACTTTCAGCAGAAAATCATTTAAAATAGAAACAACTCTCAGTGCTAAAATTGAACGGCAACCGAGATTTCCCGACGTTATTTTTTCAAAAGAAGATTTTTCTTTTTTCACGTCGATACGCGATTTGCTGGAGCGACGAAGAACTCATCAACTGAAAGTGGTTTCGGCGATAAATATAGTTATTTCGAGTGCGGGCACTTGAACTTGACGATATGGACAGCTCGAAAACAGCATTTAGCTGCCTTTTTTCGTATTGATATAAAATAGGCCCCCTCTCCCTTAATTTTTCTCCCAATCGAAAATCAAATATTTCTAAACTGGAATAATAAATTTAATAAGTCCGAAATTTGACCCGTCGATTTGGCAACATGATTTATCAAATAAGTCTAGCCACACCTTGGATCATGTTTTTGATAAATTATCAACTTTCTTGAAGTTCGATTTTTAATGCAAATAAAAAGACACGTTTTATAGTAAAGAATTTATCAAAATCAAACTTCCAAGTTAAAATCGACTCCTGGCCACGGTGACAAAAACCTGAGTCAGGGTTTGAAAAATCTTCAACGAAAGCCGCGCAGCGGCTTTTTCATAACTTCGCGGCTTCGCAGAATTACAAAAAAATTGTTTGTAATGTAATTTTGCGAAGCCGCTACGCGAGTTAGTTATTAAAAAGCCGCTGCGCGGCTTTCGTTGAAGATTTTTCAAATCCTGACTCAGGTTTTTATCACCGTGGTCAGACATCGATTTTTACTTTAAAGTTTGATCTTGCGAAGCCGCTACGCGGCTTAGTTATTAAAAAAGCCGCTGCGCGGCTTTTCCTTAAAGATCTTTGAGACCCTGACTCAGGTTTTCTACGCAGGTTGCTCAGCCCAGGACGAGGAAAAGATCAATCCTGCCATTTTTCGCTTGAATATTTATATTCCCAGCGAAAAGGAAAGAAAAAAGCGTAATTGAATTCAACTCTGCTCATTTTCATAAGCAGGTGTCTTCTTGGTTTTTCTTTCGTTTAGCAAATTTTCTGCAAATTCGAAAATTGTCGGACGTCGGGGCCGTTGACTTTTCTAAACCGAGCAAGAGGGTTGACATTCCCGCGCCAGTCACTTTTACAGCCGCTTTACACGTTGTGGTAAAAAGCAAGCAGGAACAGGTGCGGAGTTTTAACATTAGCTGAGAAGGCAAAATGCGACAATCGCTCAATTCACAACCTCTTAAAAGGGAGTGCCTTTTTCTTTTTTCAGGAAAAAAGGATGACTAAATCCGGGCTCAAAAACTTCTGTAGAAAACCTGAGTCAGGGTCTGAAATATCATCTAAGAAAAGCTGCGTATGATCTTTTAGACCCTGACTCAGGTTTTCTACACAGGTTTCCGAGCCCGATAAAAAGAAAAAGGTTACTTTGTTCTTTCCTATTTTCGCTTTCGCTCACGAAATTTTCATTCGCTTCGCTTCGCTTTCGCTTTTAATTTTTGAAAAATTTTCGCTTTCGCTTCGCTTTCGCTTTTCATTTTTGGCCAAAATCCAGACCCCTGCTCGAGTAAGAAATTATCATGTAGATTTTTATCAAGACATCAGCCTAGTACATATGAGATAGGCTAAAGGAGTCAAGAGGATTTGGGATTCTGTTAAGGGTTCTGTAAAGTTTAGAAAAAGTAACTTCCATTTTTTCATCAGATAAGCTGCTGCATTTAGTCTGTGTCTATCGTCTTTTTAACCAAAAATATTTTCGAATTATATAATTCGCTAATCGTTTCTAATACGAGAAATTCGAAACCGAACATTCGAGATATTTGGTTTATTATCGCCAGAAAACCAAAATAACATCGTCGCCGAATTATAAAATAAGCGATAGTTCAACTTTCAAGTTTGCGATTTCATCAGAAAACTTTCAAGAAAGAGCTTTCTGCTTGCTCTTTTCAGAAAAAGCTGGCCCCTTGTCTATCCTCTTTCATTCTCCATGTTTCCCTTTGTTCATCTCTTGGGCTACGTGGCCTTACAAATGAACTCGGCTCGGCAACCTGTGAAGAAAACCTGAGTCAGGGTCCTCATAGAAACTAGGCGACTATTATCAAAAGAATTATTTGGGACCCTGACTCAGGTTTTCGGCGCAGATTATCGAGCAGAATTCATTTGTAAAGCTACGCAGCGCAAGGATGAATAAGGGGATACATGTAGAAAGAAAGAGGATGAACAAGGGGCCCCTTTTTCAGATTGTCGAGCCCTGAATAGTTTTATCCCGGAAATAAAAGGCTACGTGGCACAAAGCTCAACAAGGGCATACTCAAAGAAAATGTGAGGGTGAACAAGGGGCCCCTTCTTTTTACTTAAAGATGTCGATGCTCGTATCTCCGTTCATAAAAGAAAAAGAAAACGAAGAAACAAGTGTTCTTGGATGAAAATTGAGCTACTCTGTTTTGCGCAAAAACTGAATTAGGCTGCGTCAGTCCGCTGGAGCGGAACTCGTTCTCGTCACTCGAACACTATAATAAAGAACTGGTAAGCAAGACTCGAGCGGTGAGCTTGATTGGATATTTATTGAGAGATGGAGTGAACTGAAAGGGAGTTGAACTTGGACTCATGGAACGCAGGGACGAGTGCTGATTATAAGCTGAATTATGTGTGCACAGTAAAATATGAAGTGACGCGAAAGAAGTGTAGGACAAAGGAGAGAGACAGTAACTGGAGGAATCATAGGAAGAATTGTCGTTCGAGATTAATCAAGAATCTCTAGTCGTCACATCTCTTCCCCTCCAAGAGATTTCCTCTTCAGTAGTATCGGTAGTTTCGGTTGTAGTATCGGCCAGAGAAGAAGTTGCCTTGAATCTTACAGACACGGAGGCCTTGCAGGACTAGGAATTTTCGCATCATCTTTAGGTTGTGGCCGTTGATTTTCGGATAAAGACTCATCCCTGTGAGATCTGGAGACACTTTGTCTGTGGGGGCCGGTACGCCCAGGTACATGATGCTTTGTATGGGCGAGCTGACGAGAATGACGAAGTTCGTCTGCCTGTATCCATGGGCAAATACCCGGAGAGGAACGTGCAACCCACATATATTGTGGGAGTTGTAGAGAACGGTGTCGCTGTCGAACAGCTCCCGCAATGAGTTGATAAAGGGTAGACTTCGCTTTTCGCTTATCAGGCGGTTAATAGTACTTCGAACTGCTGAAAACCTCGCCTTCTTGATTTGCTCGCATAAGTCTCGAGCCGTTTGAACGTTTGTCTCATCAGAGACATAGTCGTAATCCGGCTCGATATTCGCAGTAATCATCACGCTTCTTCGGTCGAGTTGATTGGACAAGAAGCCGTCTCTGAGGGATTTAAATTGTCTTTGTGTGAGTTCTTCAAAAGATTGGAGTTCAGGAGCTTGCTCTTCGTTCTCCTGCATCTGGATTTCGTTAGTCGCTTGTCGATTTTCAGGTTGAGAACTTTGATCGTTGGTTGTTGAGGTAGTCGGCACAGCTTCCTCCCCGTCCATTTTCATTAATTCCTCGTCAATCTCCTCTTCGGTTTTTCTAGGTTGAGATGCTCAGGAGTTGTTTCTATTTGGCTCATTCTTGCTGAAAAAAGAAGCGATTTTCCAAAAGAGATTTGGATTTTTCTTGATTTGTGGAACTGATGCTTTTCGGAGTAGAATGGTTCCGTATTTATACTTTTATTTTGGCATCTTCAGCGTTTTTCAACCGTCTGTGCGACTTGAATTTTGGGTTCTTAGTGTTTCTTCCTACTTTGGGAAAGAAACGCTTTTTCCGGAAGAATTACTGTACTTCCTTGACGTCAAACGATCATTTTATTCTGTTTTTATTGGGTCCTTTAGGATCCATTTTCTTTTCATTTATTTGATGCAGAATTTTTGAGATTCTAGAAGCTTCTCGAAAATTCTCGAATACTTCGAACATCCTATTCATTCATAGCATTTTATAGGCTTTAAATCTGTTTCTTCTCGCATTTTGCATGTTGAACGCACATCCGTGGTTAAATTTTCCTAACAAAGGCTTTATGGCCTTGGAAAATTTGCATCTAAAACGCAATTTGATTTCCTAGCTTCATTTTCGCACAAAAAAAAGAGAAAAAACGCAAAAATGGCTGATTTTCCATCATCGAGGTAATTCATTTCAAGAAATTTTTTATTCTTAATTATTTTCAAATAGTCTACTGAGTAGGGAAAGTTCCCCTAGCGATCTTCAAGGGCACGCTTGCCTCATTTCTACCCAGACGCTATATGAAACAGGTGTTTATCCGTAAGTCGCCCGTTAAAGCTCTGAATATTTAAAACCTGGTTAGGGTGAATCAGGACAGTGAGACGACTTCCCGCGATGACTCTTTGAATCTTGAAGGAGAAAATGATAGACAGGTAAGCTCCAGTTTTTGGGTTTTCAAAAATGAATATTACTCATCTAGCCTGTTGACAAGGATGGGCAAGAACGAGTTCCCGTGAGAAAGAATGTAAGATTTTAACGTTATAATTTTTACTGAAAGTTTTTTCCCTCAACTGAATTTTCTGAGTCATCACGGGTCATATTTGGCCCCGGGCGACAAAGAAATCTCGCCCACTTTGATGATACAGAAATTCAGTAGAAATCAACTTTCCTAATTAACTACTATATTTTATTATTATATTTTACTTTTTTTTTTTTTTTTTTTTTTTTTTCTTTGCAGCCGTCATTCGTCACGAGTATCGAAAAGCAGCTTTCAATCCTGCGGAGCTACCCGGCTCACTATGTTCATTCATATCTAATTGTTGATAGCTGTAGCCCAATAACATATGGCATCCGGCAGCTCATTGTATTTGGGCAAGTTGAAAAAACAAAAGGTCGAAACTTCGATCTTCGGATAAGCATTGAACCTCTGGATTGTTTTAAGGGTAGGGTTCACTTATTTTTTGATTCTTACATCCGCAAAGTAGTATATCCCTGATGGTGAATCCTCCTATCAGTGCCTAAATCCCGCATATCATGAACTTGATGTAATCAGCCAATTGGTTCCTTACAGGCTCAATATCGTGAGCCGTAGATTCTTGCAGAAAATCGTCAAGCGAACAGGAAAACATGTCAATTGGTCTAAGTATGAAAATGCCGCGGCGAACTATCCGTTCCTTACCGCAGAGTTCTACCGCAAGTATGATTTCTCTTTGTGGAATAAGGTGTTATTTTTCTTTTAGGCACTGCCGACGTATTTCGGGGGGTAATGGTTGTGTTTCGGAAGGATCCATGAACCGGAGGCTCAATGAAATGTCGGAAAACCGATTTTCAACTGAAATTAACAAAAGTCTGGAGTCCTTCCGTCGCAGGTTTAAAGTAAGGCCGTTCTTTTTCTATATTCATGACTTAATGTTATTCTCTAACTAGAGGTCGTTAATCCTTGGATCATCGTGCAGCGTCAGTGAGAGCCTTTCCAGGCTTTCAGGTAAATTACAAAATTTCCTATTCGTTATCGTAACCGATTTTTAGATTTTGACGACATACCGGAGTCTATGTAGCTCTTTCTGTTCTCGAAGACATTATTATGAAAAATCCTCTTCCCTCTTACTTTTGGAACAATACCGCGTATTTTCTTACTGAAAAACTAAGGAATGAACTAATCTCTGTTTCAAGGGTTTGCACCAGATTATCTTTTTTAGCATGAACCAAGACGAGGAGCGCTTTTATAATGATTTGTCAGAAGCGGTCAAAAGAGATACGATCCGAAAACTTGATCGTAAACTGGGGATGTTTGTAAACTTATTGCAAAGAATGTCTAGGTAGATTGATTATTTATAATTTTGTTTTTCTTATACTTGTAGGGCTTCTTCTAACCTAAAGAATCGAATTACTCATGAAGGAATACAAGACTTTGACCTGGAAATACAACGAGCACTGACTGAAACAGTGAGAACTTTAAACAATTTAGGAAATCGACTGACTACTGTCACGGAGACGCTAACAACACTTGAGTAATGTTTTTCCTCAATTTTTCTTTACTTTTTGCTTATTTTTAGGGATATAATTCGCAATCTAAACCGCTCTGGGGCTTGATTAAGCATTTTTCTGTGCAAAAATTTTACTTTTGCTCAATCTTTCTATTTTGTGTTCAAATCATGATATTCCGTATTTCAGAATGTCATATGAGAACAATCATTCAATGAATATTCGAACTGCGAGGGCAGTTATAAATTTCTTAAAATTCATTTGCGCTTTCATTCTCCGATTTTGGTAAATATTCATATTGAATTTTTCAATGATTTATAAATTCCAGTTGGAAGATAACTCAATGGTTTCGCAGTGGAGAAGAATAAAATTTTACATTGATATTCTTTTTTAAATAAAAGATATTTCTAAAAATATTTTGTGTTTTGGTATTTTGGCAAGGCAAACAAACTAAGCATAAAACAGGATATATTTAAAAGGATCGACTCGAATTCCTTTCTTGAAGAAAAAAAAAAATTTTTTTTTTTTTGGTTTTTATATTTTTGTAATTTTTATTTTTGTTTCAAATAAATTTTTATTTTATATTTTTGTTTTGAATTTTGCTTTTTCTAAAAAAAAATTTTACATTTTTACATTTTCAGCGAAACATTAGCAGGTTAATTCTGGTTATTTTTCCTTCTGTAAAACGGGCATAGTTGGCTAAGAAGCGGAAATACAGGTGAATAAGTAAAGGTAGACTCATTCAACTGTCTTAGCAGCTCAAAAAGCGTCAGAAGAGCTGTAAGACTCATTTCTCGGAGCGCGTAAAAACTTTGCAAATTGTCACTTGGAGTGTTTGATTTAAGATTTATCTTTTCTAGCAATCTTACAATTTTCTGTATTATATTATTCTTGACCTCGGTGATGGTATCTATTTCGTTGTTGTTAGCTTGAGTACTGAAGACATGGCTATTTTGGACCGGTTGGCTTACAAAAATTGGTTTTGGGGGTTTTATGGGACGTTGTCGACTAAGATGGGTGGGTACGAGCTGATCAAATTCTTTTGAATGGTGAGGCTGACAGTATTCCGTTTCCAATGATTCAAATGAATCAGTGATGTACAGGGACATTCTCTATGGGAATTTTTAACTCCTTATTCTTGGGGTTCGAAAAACTGAGCGACGATTTTCCGTATTTCGGGTAAAACGTTCCTCCTTGATTAAAGGAAGATCTCTTTCTCTCGTAGCCTGCCGGAGCATTGGTGGCTTCGCTTGCTGCGTAAAACTTGTTTCGGCAGTGCTTCCCTCCATTAGATTACTTTCTTCATCGGAATCCTCTGGCTTTTTCCAAGTTAAGATTGATGAAGAAGGCGTTCCCGCTCTTTCTGTATCCTTATCTTTACAGAAAAGCCCGACGATTAACCATCGGAAGAACTTATAAATTGCCTTTCCTATTCCCGCTAATATTTTCCATAAAAATTCAAGGGCTGTTTTGAAAATTGTCCAAATAAACTTAAACACTTTTCTTATCCATGTATATTTCTTGGAAGCCACGAAGATTGATAGAGCTAGGATAATTCCTACAACTAAGGCTATTATAATAATGACTTTTTTTGTCAGAAACCCACCAGAAAAAGGTTTGATAAAAACTCTTTGTCTTTACAATTTTGTTCTCATAACTTGTTTGATATGAGTTGATCAAATCCAAGGCTTTCGACTCATCCAAAAATTCTAAATTCTCTAAGTTCCCAAATCCGAGACTCCAAAAGTTGTTGGAATCTATCTCTTCCATGTTCAGCTTTTCAGCTGTTTCTAATCTTGGAACTGTCAAGATCAGCTCTTTTTCTTTATCACTTGACAACGCGTTTATCTGGAATCTAGATTTATCACATACGACAGTTTTCGCCTGGTTTCCCCTTTCAACCATCGTAACATTTTGGATTTTAACATTTGTTTCCATAAGCTCGACCCCTGGCAATTTATGACCGCTTTCTTCAATGATCGAAAATTTATTGAAATGGGATATGAGCAAATGTTTCACCCCTGTTTTTCCTGAATAGAGGCAGTCATGACTACTTCTAAAGACTGTTGATCGACAATATTTGTGAATCGATTGCCCCAGAAGGGCTGATGCACAGTCGATTTCCTCTTGGTTTATTAGAATGTTGTCGATAGGACAGAAACGTGTGCCGAGGAACTCAAGTTTTCGACAATTAGTTAGTGGATAAGCTTTCTTGTTAGAATTAGCGATTCCAATAAAAGTTGGCACATCATAATTAAGAAAGTAATATGACTCTCCTTCCTTTTTTATGGGGACAGGAACCTGTACTATTGAAAATACCTTCTCAATTTGGCTTAGGTATGGTAACAAAAATTTGACCGAAAACTTAACCCCTAATAAAACTCCTGACCCGTAGGTTTTTGATGTCGTTTCGACCGCTTCCAACTCGAAGTTGTTCCTGTGGAACCAGTGAGCGCATCCAGTTTGTAATTTATTCTTTTTAAGGCAAAGCGCTATCAAATAATTTTGTAATTTTGAATTGGGTGCTTGGGCACCTATTTCAGCTTTCAATTCAATAACCTGCGACAGAAAAAGGTCGAATGTTTTTCTAATGAAAACTTCAAATTTCAGTTCCTGTAATTCGAGCTCAGACGAACATTCAGCTTTCTGAAGAGTCAAAAGTTTACGCGTATTATCGTTAACGACTTCGATGCTATTCTTTTCTAATTTTGCTAGTTCTAAATTATGCAACTCATCCTCACTTATTTTATCTTTTATCTCGTTTAATTCATGGTGTATTCGGAAACTGTCGATCCCATCAAAAATGTAGTTGACCAATGATAATCCTACCGTAAAATCAGAACTGAGATCTCTACGATTTCTTGGCTTTCCATTTATAACAATTCTGTCAGAATCATCATTCTCCTCTGAGACAATCCCATAAATTTCCTGTATTCGAAGGCTTAAACAAACTTCGTTAAAAACTTGATCATTATTTTTGAACGCGACATTTTCCTTTGTCGGGTCAGAGAACCAGGTTTCTTTGTCCAAATAAAAAACAAGGTCGACATAGAAATAATTCGTGTCTTTTCCATTAACTTGGTGCCATTTTTGCATTGATTTTGGAATAGGGAAAGTAACAAAGTCAGATATTATGTTATCTCGAAAAATGAAACGGTTCGGATGATCTCGTTGATTGGACCAGACCATTTTTGTTCTGTCCATATTTAGGACTAACGACCATTTGACAAGTCCAAATGGCGTTTTCCCATATTGAACGATAACTTCGTTTGGGATATCAAAAATTTTAACCTTAGACTAAATCCAGCATTAGGATTGAGAGTTCGCTCACACCCTTCTACAGGCTGTATAAACGTGGATATTTTTCTATCGGAAAGCTCTGTCGCGAATTCTTTCATTCTTCCAGACATATTTTCTAGCCCATGTTTTGAATTAAATGTCCACATTACGGGCTCTATTTTACATTCTCTCTCATTTTCCCTAAGTAAGATAATATTATTAAGTAGTTTTCTGTCATTTTCTGAGAATGACACGATCTTTGAAAGCCCAAAATAGTCGGATATGTAATCGTTCAATGTCCTTACCACCTTTTCTGTGAGATTTTTCCTAGCCAGTGCCTGGAAACAGTGATTATTATTTTCTAGTTGAAAATCCATTACATCGGGGAAAAGACTCAATTCTATGCTTGACATATAGGTTTCTAATACGTGATAAGCCAAAAATGGGTTATTTTCTAAGGCTATTCCATTATTAATAAGTGAATGATTTTTCGGTTGGTTTGGTTCGAGTAATTTGGTTATGTTCAGAATTTGATTTGAAGCTGAACGTGACGCCTGGTCGTTATTTTGAATCGCACAATTTACATTATGATACATACAGAATACCAGGAGGGTCCATTTTGGTCCCATTATGGAACCTGGCTTCATCTTCTGAGATTATATCTGCGTCTTTTTTGGGAACTATATTTGATTTCCTCGCAGTTAATTGGCGATGATACGACCGTTCTATCACCCCATAAAAGTTTAACAAAATCGCTGTCCTCCTTATCCAAGATGTTTTTCTTACTTATTGCCCTTAAAATTCCTAACATTTTATCGTCAAGCTGTAATCTTATCAAGTAGCGAGAATTCCTCAAAATGTGCTTGTTTGTTAGAACCTCTCTTAGCTCGAAGGCTGAACTATATTTTTTCCTAATGACTTCATAAGGTCCTCTTGCTGGTGCTTCATGACCAAACAATTTCCTAGGATCCCTGACGACCACAAAATCCCCTTCTTTAATGGGTATTTCAAGCTGTTCTGACTTAAGTAAGTATCGATCAATTTTCAACTTAGCAATTTCCCCTTGAAAGGTTTCAAAATCTTCCAAGTATTCTGAAATGTCAACCTCCTGTTCCTGTCTTATTTCTTTTATTTCTAAATCTCCGAAATTTGATGGCATTGCAATATTGGAAAATAACTCCATTGGAGTATGGTTCCCTAAGCTTGATTTCGGCGAATGATTGTAATAATTCGCAGCCATTTTCACAACAAGTTCGATATTCAAGTAGTCTTTATTAGCCAATTTCATTTTATC